TGAAAAAGTGTCCTTCATAAGTTTTACTTCATCAGCTTCAGGCAAATGCTGAATCTACACACTCAGTACAGACATGGAGAGCTTGAGGCAGGATCATCCCAGGCTTCCTTCTCTTCCTCCCTGGAGGCAGGGGGTCCGTGTGATTCTGCCAGCACCTCTGCATGGGCCAGACAATCAAACTGCTTGAAACCACTGTGGGAAATGGTCTGGACTAACTCAGCAACTCATTTGTGACTGAGTGTCTTCTCCTGCACGCTCAGCTCTGGGAGAGGGTGTTCATCCAGCCAGGGATCAGTGACAGGGACCTTAGAGACCTTTTGCAGGGACAGTCTGACCAACTGACTCTTCTGATCACTGTTATCACGTCTGAGGAGACACTCAGTTGGAATTCTTGCTCCATTTACAGCAGCATGACCTGAAGATGAACTGGGCAACCCTTAGAGAGAATGAGCTTCAAACCAGCACAAAACATCTGCTGTGGCTGCCACCTTGGCCTTCAGCTCCACGTCACAGCAAGGATCAGTGAGTGTTCAGAAAACATCCATCTTATCCTTGCTTTTCTGTTCTCCATCCCAGCACAGCTGTCAGGGGCTCACACTCCCTCCGAACACGGGCCAGGGGCAGCTGTAACACCCCGGGAGTGGGAAGCCAGCAGGGATTCATTGGAACACCGAAATGAGGGGGTTGCCACAGGATCTATGAGGAAGCAGCAAGAGTGGGGCTTCCCCAGGAGGGGGACAAGCCAGAGGCCAAGGGGAGCCCCAGTTCAAGCCGTGCCCTCGCCAGCAAGGCCCAGTCCCACTGGGTGCAAACAGGGCAGCCAGGGCTGGGTGCTGCTGACGGGATCAGTCCCGGGCAAGGAGAGCAACGAACCAGCTCCAGGGGCCATCCAGGGGGAGTCCAGCAGGGAGCAGAGGGACTATAACACACACCTAAAGCCCAGCCAGGAGATGGGCCCTGCCTCCAAGAAGGCCCATCCAGGAGAGCAGCTGCTCACAGCAACATCCAGGGTCAATCCAGGAGGACGGTGCCCCCTCAGCTCAGGGAGGGAGGGAGCCACTGGCCTTCAGCTTCAATGGGGCACCAGAACCCCACGGCAGGACATGTGGGTGGGAGTGTGAAGGGGCCCAGACCCAGCTGTCAGCAAAAAGGAATTTGATCAGCTTGAGCTGTAAACCTTGGGCAACAAGGGCTGACAAAAATCCCATGATCTGAAGGAGCTGGACCCTTCTCACAAGACCTGTAAAAGTTCAACCTTGTGGATTTGGCCTGGCTCCTGCAGCAGAAACAATAAAGGACTCTTGGGATAATTGTATCAGACCATGTCTAAGCCCTTTAATCCTCTTCCCCCTTGGAACCTTGGTTGAGAGAAATATTAACCCATTGGGCAACGGTAGTAAAAACTTGTGTAATTCCCTAATTAACATAGCTCGTCCTCCTCATTAAGATGTCCTGCTCCAAGACCCTTAAATTGTGTTCTGGCGTTCAATAAAGTGTTCCAGTTTATACCCCACACTGGGGTTGCTTGGTTTGTGATCCCCACTGGAGTGCCAGCTGAGCCTGCCCAGGGCCATCACACCCCATCAGTGCCCTCAGGGCCTCACCTTCACACAACTGTGCTCAGGGTGTGGAGGCCACAGGCCCCTTTCACTGCTGCAAACTCCTCCTTCTGCACAGCCACGAGCTCCAGAGTCCTCTGCACTACCTTTGGTTGGCAAAGACTGTGGGGTCTGTGAGGCTCCAGGGCTCTTAAAATAGTGGTGAGAAAGGACTCGACATCCTGGCCAGATTTCCATAACCAAGGCTGGATCTGCAGCCCCCTCCATCCCATTTGTCCATCCCAATGGGAATATACAGCTCCTGTAAGAGGTCAGCCAGGAACTGCCCAGCTCCAGCTGGTCATCCAGGGATGACCCAGTTCCCAGCCAGACTGTGCAAGCATAGCCAGGATTTTAGCAGCATTTTAGGAGGGTTCTTAATTTCTTGTAGAGGCAAGGAAGAGGAGAGCACAGATTTGTCCACAGAAAATGTTACTGACCTTTTTTTTTTTAATAAAGAAAAGCAGAAGAGGGAAAGAAGTGCAAAAAAAACCTCCTGACAATGGCACTGCAGGGGAAAATGTTGAGACTTGGCAACATGCAGAGAGGAAGGGGTGGGGCACAGGAAGGAAGATTTAAATGCCACTTAGGGGGAAATCAAAACTTGGGCATGACCTCGAAGAACACGATCCCTGCTTGGGTTCCCAGTGTCCTGGGGTGCATCAGGCTGGTCAAGAGCTAAAATTTATGTTCTTCTCTTTGTTTGAACTGCCCAGCACAGGAGCAGGGAACTTCTTAGGTGAGGCTGCTGGTGGTGACACCAGTACAACCCACAGCTCCTCCAGTTACAGCCTTCCCATGATAGTTCCTTATTCTGAGCTCCCCATCCCTTACAACAACCACAACAACTCCACTTCTTGTCGTTGACATCTGTGGAAGAGATTGTTTGTCTTAAGACCAAATCAGTTCCTTGCAAATGTCCAGATCATCTGGGAATATTCATTGGTTTGTGTTGGGCATCGACTGCAGCAGAACGAGTTCCATGAGTAAAGAAAATCCACAGTGTACATTCCAAACCTGGAGGAAGCAGTGATGATGCAGGGAGGAAAAGCTGGATGGCTGCATCCTTGTGGGTTTAAGGAAGTTAATTCTTCTTTTCCTGTACACCAGTCAATAAAACCAGCTTCTTCCACTGGTCCTAGAAAACCTCCTGAGATGGCATTTAACAATTCCATTTCCACATGTCTTATCCGTGATGTGCTTCCCTTTCATTTTTGGCATTAAACTATATTGTGTTTCCCAGCACTGATGGAATTAGAGGTTATTTATGCCATAACATGGCTTCACAAAAGATGAGAGAAAATAGAGATTGCTTTATACAATAGTCTGGATTAGCAGATTAAGTGAGCTGGTTAATGAAAAGGTTTGTAGATTAAATTCTTATGTAGCCTACTCTCAAAAGGTGAATTATCTTTCAAAATATATTTTGCCTATAATTGTTCTGACATTATTTACCTGTATCCCTCCCCTTAGATTATACCTGTCCAGTATCAGATAAATTAGAATTTGCAAAGACTGTTCCCTAAAATAAGGTGGGGCAGAAGGGACTAGAGGTATCAAGAGTGTCTGAAATCACACAATGTAGCCAGGAAAAAAATACTGATATGTCAAAGAAATTACATTAATATTAAACATTTACATCAAGAGCTGTGTGGTCAATAAAAGGAAGAGAAAGCTGAGTTGGTCCAGTTGCTGGGAACTTTTCCAGTTACCAGTGAGAAATATTTGCTAGAGGATTGATTCTCTTCCTGTTTAAGATTGCCAGACTATATTGGAAATGGATAGAAATAGCCTGAAACCATAACATTTCTCTTATTCTTTGCCCAAGACTATATTAGGACAAGCTTTGATTTGCACCAGCTGGTCCCAGTCCTGGTGTGCAGAGGTGGGCTGGGAAATGGCAAAGCCAGGCCAGCCACGAGCTGGAGCTGAGGAGCTGGAAGGGAAGGGCTGTAGGAATTGGTGACCCCCTGTGACAGCAGCTCCAGCCTTCCTATCTGCAAACCCAGCTCCCACTGGAGCGGGACCGGCACAGCTGGAGTGACTGAACAGGGAGAATCCATCAGTGACTGAACAGGGAGAGTCCATCAGTGACTGAATCAGAATCCATCAGTGACTGAATCAGAATCCATCAGTGACTGAATCAGAATCCATCAGTGACTGAATCAGAATCCATCAGTGACTGAACAGGGAGAGTCCATCAGTGACTGAATCAGAATCCATCAGTGACTGAACAGGGAGAATCCATCAGTGACTGAACAGGGAGAGTCCATCAGTGACTGAACAGGGAGAGTCCATCAGTGACTGAATCAGAATCCATCAGTGACTGAATCAGAATCCATCAGTGACTGAATCAGAATCCATCAGATCCTGATGATCCTGATGATCATAGAATTGGGCAAAAGCCCAAAGGAGGGAAGGCTCTGAGGGAGCCTGGGCCAGGTTGTGTTCAGGTACCACCAGGAATGCCACTGCTCCCAGCACAACACCCGGGTTGCTTTCGTGAAAAGTCTCTACTTAGATTTTCACAGGGCCACAAATTAATCAAGATGTCCCATGAATTTCCCCACAAATTAGAACCAGGAAGAAGACCCTGAATGGCCCTGCAGTCGATGCCACATCTGGAGGAGAACATAATCAAGCTGACTATACCCCCAGTGCATTTTCTTTTCAGGTGAGTTCCATTTGGAAACCAGCAATAAAAGCTTCTGAACAGGGAGATGGGAAGATTGGTGGATTTGGGGGGGAGGCAGAGTGGGTTTGGCCTTTACTATTTTGGTGTTGATTTTTTCCACCTCCTTTTTATGTTACATGTGTCATTTTTGGGGGCCTGGTGCCAGATTTCTTATTTCCTGAGAGGCTGCAGCTTCTTAAAGGCAGCAGCTGCTGCAGCTGCATTAGAGGGGATTTGGAGCTGCTCTCTGCTCAGGTAGGACAGAGCTGAGTCTGTTCCTCAAGTCAAATCCTGTCCACTTCCTTTCCAATTCCTGCCTCTTTTTCCCCAATCCTTTAGTGATGCTGCATGTTGTAAAAAAAGATACCATTTCTTGGTTATTCCAGAATTTGTCTTGCTCTGGATTTTATGTTTTCCTTTTCAGCTGTCAACGTAGAGGAGATTTTGGTGAAGGCTCAAAGTTATTGTGTGATTAGAAGGAACATGATTCATGTGTACCATATTTCTGAAGTCAATATTCTGGAGGAAAGCTGACTATTTTAATGGCTAAATCATCCCTTGAACAAGCTGCTGAAAATATCTGTCGTTACCTCATAATTTAGAGACATCTATAAAGATAGGTGCTTATATATCTCAATATATATATTATATCTTGAACTGGTGCTGCAAACACCAAGGATTTCTTCTTGCAATACCTGGAAATCACTTTGTTTAAAAGGAATCTCACAATCTTTTAAAAATATATTTAATAGGTCTTCACAGATACAGGTTTGTACCCACAGATCTCGATGTGACATTTCCTGTTTGCCAGGAATTTATCTTTTGTAGGAATTTTTTTTTTCCCAAATAACAACCTGACTTGTTTTAGATTGATGCACCAAATTTGTGTGTGATTATTATCACTAACACAAATAAGAGGAGAAATATATTTCTGTGTTATCCATACAAAGCCACACAAAGCTCAGGTTGATGCTGCACCAATGCTCAGAATCTTTTAATTTAAAATCCATACTGTTTTTTTGTAGAATATTTCCTTTTTTGTAGTAGCTTTTTTACCTTCTGAGCCATTCTCAATTAAACTTTTATTATTCAGTCATAAAATTTCCAAGTAGAATTTTTTATATCTTTAAAATACAAGGAGCTGATTTGCCAAGACCCTTGGATTGATGGGCGTTGCTTAAACTGCCAAAGAAGAAACAAAATTCAAAATTATGGTTTCCCAACAGTGTTTATAGTCACTGTTTAACTCTCAGTTTTATAAGGAAAAATTGTCATCTGCTGTTTTATCTTTGTGCTCACTGAGACTGGAGTGTTTCCAATATGCAACATATATGGACCACTAGTTTTATTTATTTCATATTAGGAGGGGATGGTAATAAAGTCGAGCTCTAATGCAGCCCTGAAATACAAAAAGCACCTCTTTAAAGCTCTAATAAAAAAAATATTTGGGGTTTTTTGGACTTCCTTTTTTTTTTCATTTTCTCAATTATACTTAATTTAGAACATGACGAAACAGGAGATAACACAGCTCGTTTTTAAAAGTGACTGTGGTTCACCAACTGAACTCCCTTCAAGCCCTCTGCTAATGAAAGTTGGCTTTTCCTGGGAGGGGAAGTGCAGGAATGACATTTGTGAAGCTCCTCAGGTATTTATGAGAAGATAAAAATCCTCCCCATAACCACAGGTGTTTTTAATATTTGGGGGGAAATTCCACTGAATGAGTTTTGGGAGTGTTTCAGTAACTGTGTTTCTCTGTAATTGCCACAAATATCTGATGCAAAACCTATTCCAGCTCCTGTGAAAATGGCAGTTCTCTGCTGATGTTATTTCATGACCAAAGTGTCTGGTTCTAGGAGATTATTTTAAAGAATCCAAACTCAGCAAGTGCCACGCTCATGCAAATTGTGATTATGGTTCTCTTTATCCTTAAAAATGTAATAATCCACAAAGTATATATATATTAATATATATATATTATATTTATATCTATATTTATATATACACATAAAGTGTATACACACACATACAGATCCCTGCCAGCTGGCTGTTTACAGGAAGTTTTGAGTTATTAAAATAACACTTGTAACATTCTGATTTAAAGTATTTGTTGAAAAGCTTTTCTCAAAGAATTAAAGTATAATTTAACCACACTTTCTGTTTCATGTAAAGTCCACTGAGTTGTTTTAATCTACTATTGTTTTAATCTACTTTCCTGGCTCCCATATACTTATTAAATTTTTTCCTTATTCAATCTTGCTTTCAGTTTCCAAAATGCCAGATAAGTTTTACGCTGTTAGTTTCGTGTTTCAAATGCCGTATTTTCCTTTAATATATGAAATTGATTTTTCACAGTGCATTTCAACATTCCTCAGGCTGAAAAGACACAAGCTACACTTAAAAGGAGAGCTTTTTCAGGTTAAATTGTCCCTCCCTCCTTCCATGTTCTGTGGGCAGAAAAATAACCTGAGCTTTACGTGGCTGACGAAAGCACATCGTAATTTTTGCTTGGGTTTCATTAGTTTTTAGAAAATCTGGCCAAAGTTTGAAACTTCAAATTGATTTGTGAACGAAATAAAAATATGTATGTGTGTTGAGTAATACATCTGGGGGGGGGGGAACTCAAAACCAAAACAACCAAATTGCAATTCAGATTGTCCTTGCCTGATTAGCAATGTTGGATTTTATAGATTTTCGGTGAGTCTGAAGAAATAAAGCCCTTGCTGGCAGAGAAACCTGTTTCAGCTGCTGGATAAAAAAAAAGAAAAAGCATCTTAAAGAAAGTCTTGATGAATAAAAAACTTCCAGGGACAGATTTTACCGAAGTCACAAACCTCCCCAATCTGACATTTAACTAATTACTGACAAAAAGGATTCTCACTTCCCTGTCCAAAATGGAAACTTTAAATGTATTTCCTTCAGAAAGAATCTTAAATAAATACTACTTTTTTTTAATAACTCGAAAATGAAATCCTTGCATGTTTAGCACAGTCACCTCTGTTACCGTAACGGGGTTTGTGTTTCGAATGCCCACGTGCTGCAAGAGCTTGAGGTCATTTTTGGAATCTCCCAGATCCCTTTTTTTAAGACTCTGAGCCCCACAGCTCCCTTGACTTCTCGCTGCCATGCTGCCAATCCTCCCCAGGGGGGTTGTGGACGGAGTTTTCCACGTGGGAGCTCAGCTCAGGAAATCCAAGGAGTGAATCACGGTCCGTGTCCTGCACAACCTGACTCGTGTGCTTGCCCTTGCACACTCCAGGTGGGATAATTGGCTGCAATAATATGTTGTATGGCACTTCAACGAGGATTTTTATTCATAATTAGTATTAAAATATAACGTTTTTTATAAATCTAAAAATTATTTGTAAGCCATTTTAATGATTTCATTGTTGAAACAAGTGAAACCATTTTTTTCCTGATCTAGGTTTGCTCCCAACCTGTTCGTGGGCACGAGCCCATCCTGACTTGCCCTGTCCCCATCCCACAGTCAGGGCAAATGTTTGGCCCAGAGTTGGGATTTTGTCCTTGTTTCAGATTAACACTTAAGAAACAAGCTTAAGGTTTTGCCAGTACAGTCCAATGAGCAAAATCTGTTCAAATTATTTTATCCAAGAATCCTCTACAGCATTCGTTGAAAACAGGAGCAAGATCTTCTTCAGACCTGCAGAATAAGCCTGTAAAGTTTGCCAACTGTGAAAATAAAAGACAAAAAAAAGGACAGAAATGTATTAATTGTCAGACTCAGAATCTGGGAACCCTTTGGAAATTTATAGCTGTGCTTCTATTTAAATATGACATTAAAACTTTTCAGTCTAAAGCTTCGGGGAAAGAACTAGAGGGGAAATATTACAGCAACATCTTTAACAAATTACTCAAATTCACTGCAAACTATATTTTGTGGAGACCAAATTCCCTGGCAGGCTTGGAAAAAAGGAAGGGGATGTCAAAATATCACACTGCTAGGAAAAATGGTGCCTTTCAACATTTCTTTAATGCTCTGCATTGGCTCTTTCACTCTGTGTGTACCTTAAACAGAAGTGTTGAAGAGTTGAGGCAGCAGAAGGGGAAGCCTGGACAGATCCATTGAGCTAAAATTCCTCCTGCAATTTGCCTTACCACATATTGATTTATTTTTCCATTTTTCCCAGAGAAATATAAATCCTATATTTCTCATAATTCTAGGAAAGGGTTTGTGGGACAAAGGCATTGAAAAATTTTAGTTTTTTGTTTTGGTGTCCAACAGGAATTACAAGTTTCTCTTGAATGTCTACTGTGGTCTATTTTTCTCACGAGTTTAAACAGGCATTCTTGCAAAAAGGGTTTGCTGCAAACCTGGTCACAAAGCCTTGATCCCAGCAGTTTCTGAGGGACAGGATCTGCCTGCAGCTCCTTTTGGGAAGGAAAGACAACTGCTAAAAACACAAACCCAATTTTGTGTGCCAGTAAAACTTCCAAGACTTATGATTTGGGGGGCTGTTATTCAGTAAAATGAAGATGTGCTGGTGACTGATGACCATGAGATTAGTTCAGCTGGTTAAAACTTGGTGCTAAAAATGCCAATCCTGTGTAGGGGCCATTCACTTAAGAGCTGGACTGGATGTTCACTGTGGGTCCCTTCCAACCCAGAATATTCTGTGATTCTGCGCTGACAGGACAAGAACATTACACCTCACAAAAATTAGGTACCCAAAGGACACAGTTAAAAGTGTCTGCACTAACCCCCAACTTTGCTCCTGGCCCATTTAAAATTAGATCTTGGGCACCGTGACAGCTGTGGGGTTTGATGAGCCTCCAGGAGGTTAAACAGGAGCTTTCTCTTCTTTGTTTTTAAAGAAGACCTTTAGAGGTGCCCAGTTTAATCCAGTAGAGAAATTCGAACAGCTCAAACCACACCTCGAGTCTCCCGTGCTTTGCTACAAGGAATCCTCTCAGTTCTAAATACTGACAGTTTATCTGCCCCAAACAGCAAAGCCAGAGTAACAAAGGTTACTCTGGTAACCTTTGGTTTAGCCCTGGTGCAGTTTGGCATCTTTGCCTAAATTAAATTGGTCCACATTGACACCACTGTGAACCCAAGGATCAACCACGATGACCTCAATGCATCCACACCACAGAAAAGGGCTGATTCTCCAGAGCTGTCCAGGAGTCCTCTCCCATTCTAAGCTAAATCTGTGCTCTAGACAAAGACTCAAACACACTCAGCAGATTTTAGCTGGTGGCTGAGCTCTACAGCCAGCTCTGCTCCACCACTGCTTGTTGGATCAATCCTGGTCACAGGAATGTGCCCAGCCATGAACAAGGGGAGTGCAGTCGCAGTTTGTTTGCCCTGGAAATTTTCTGTGCATTACACTGGTAGAAGGGCACATGAGGATCCAAACACACACTCTGAACAGACAGAAAGGTTTGCTGGTTTGTCCCTAGTCTTGATATTTTCTGCTGGAGGAAATGCATCCTTCCTCTGGCATGTCCCAGGCCAGGCACTGCAAAGAAGAGATTGTTCTGAACAGGCTGTGAGCTGCTCAGAAGCTGGTTTAGAGTGTAAGACAAACTCAGTGAGATGCATCCTTAGGCAACACCACAGAAATCACCCCTGATTTTTAGCTGTTGAAACAGAACAAAAAAGGGTCAGTGTAACACAAACTGTCTCACAGCCTGTGAAAAACCACTTCTGAGCACTGTTTAAAACAAACCTTTCGGCTGAAAAAGCCACAGAGGGTGATTTCCTGAGGATGGGAGCCCAGATTTCTGGCTTGGGATGGGAACAGAGGTGACGTGTCTGCCGTGTGCAGTGGGACACACACTTGGACACAGGGCAGAGGTATCATTTTTAGACACCATGAACAGCTTCTTGGGGCTCAACCAGGCAGCCAAGGAGCAGAGGGATGGAGCTCTGGATGTTGCCCTGGAGCAGCTGGTCAGACAGTTCAGTTACAGAGCAGCTGGATGTGATTTTCCTCAGGATTCCTGTGGAGTAAAACACAGGAGGAATGATTATGGAGCAAAAAAAACCCATCACAGCACTGCACTGAATAAAAAACTTACTAAATGTCTTACATAACTTATAAAATAACTAATAAAAGTTATTAAAGTCTCAAGTAGATCAAACACTCAGATAAGAGCAGAGAGAGCTCTTGCCCTGGAAATCTAAAAATGTTAAGGCATCAACAGGAGAGATAAAGATCTGTTGTTGATACACCACAGATTTATTATTTTACTTAAATGCATCTTTCAGCAGTGCCTTTATGAAGGCACTTAAACATACTGAGCTGACACAGGACAAGAATTAAGTCCAAGACTGGTTTTGTACCAACAGTTGTTTAAAGGCTAGGGAAGAATGGATGTTTTCCAGAAAGGAAAGAAGTCCAAAAGGACTCACAGGATGCTCATAGTTGCCAAATGTTATCCAGTTCTTTTCCAGGATCCTTAAGACAGTTTTTGACAGAGTTATTCAGACCAACCATGCAGAAAGCATCAGGAGGTCCTGCAACAAAGCCTGGACAATAAAATTTCGACAATGCAAAGACATGCCAAGAAGGCAAGAACCGGAGTCCTTGATGACTCCTTGATGAGCACTTTGCAGAGGAGTTGTCAGAGTGATTTTCCAAATCAATTCTTATCATTGAAAAAATGCAGTTAACACACTGGGGGAGATACTGGAGAGGGAGGCAGAGGACAGACACCACTGCATTAACCAGCGATGCACCTCTGCAATTCTACCTGCAGTTATGAATGGTAAAATAATCCAGAGAGAGACAAAAAGGATAATCCCAACTGAGGAACCATTTCCCATCCAAATAAATCCATGTAACACTGGCTCTCAGAAGACATGACTGAAGAAGGTGCATGTGAAGTACCTGTAAAACAACCAACAGTGCAGAGAGGAAACGACTGTTCAACGTTCATTGAATTCCAGAATTAAACTCCATTTCCAGGCAACTGATTTAGTAAAATATATTCAAAACATATAAAGAAGACTTCAATGTCTTACAAAAAGTGCCCTTTCTGTTATAAGTGCATCACATTTTAGTTCTGAGAACAGAAGGGTTTTTATAGCCAACTATTTCATTACTGTTCTTGCTGAATACGTATCCAGTGTTTGTTTTGACACAAACCAGACCTCTGCTGGCATGGTATTTCCAACAGGGGTGGAACAGAGTCCTGCAGATCCCTGACACACAATAGTGGTCACATCTACAGCCAGATGTTCAGACACAAACCCTCGGCTTGCTTCACTAAATCCCACTTTCATTTGAATTCAGTAAATTAGTAAATTTTTAAAGCAATACAACTTTTTATCCCCCAGCCACATACTGTTGAGCCAATATTGTTAACAGTTGGATTCAATGGTCTTAGAGGTCTTTTCCAACGTTAATGACTCTCTGGTTTTATTAAAAGCAAGCACAGGTTCTGTGGTTATTGGCAGAGACACAGGAGGCAGATTCCAGTTTGAACTTCCTTGCCAGTTCATGGTGTAGCCCAACAGGAATGCTGAATGCCATTCCTGGGATTCATTCATGGATCCTTCCCTTCTCTCCAGCTCCTTTGAGGACCCCCAGCAGTCAGAGCCAGCAGGGCAGCTTGGAGAGGCACAGACACCCCTGAACTGCAGTTGCCCAGCACTGACACAAGTTTTAACTCCCCAGGATGTGCTGGGGTGAACTGCTACCAGCACCAGGACTTTGTTTCAAGACTCAGTGTTATTTCCAACAGAACTTCTGCTTTTTTCCACTTATTAGTTCTTTTCTAGATGCACAAACCTTCACAGGTCAGTTGTCCCCTGTTACCCATTCATTCCCCTCCATGACAGAGGAGAGGCTCCTTGGGCAGCAACATCAACCAGTAGGACATCATTTGGGATTTTTCCAGTTGACTTGAATCAACTTCCAGTTCACACTGCTTTGAATAAGTTGTTGATTTTCTCTCCTTTCTTGAAAGGAAGAAATTTTGTTAATTCTTACAATGCAATGCAATTAAAGGGAAAAACACATTAATTTCAAAGCTCAAATCCTGTCATTATTAGCACTTTCTTTCAAAACATTCAAGTTGAATAAACAGAGCATTTCAAGATGAATATTTTGAAATAGTCCTTGCCAGCTGTATCCAGTGGCAAGACAGTGATTACACCAGAAACTTGTACATCTGCATTTCCTTCAGAGGGTACGAGTTGTCTGCTGCTGTAGTGGGCTCAGAGCTGCAGAAATTGTAGCTCCCAACCATTCCGAACTCACTTCTCAGCAATCCAAACCCCAGGATGTGGGGGGCTGGCTGCAGGGCCAGGAGGATCTTTGTCCATTTCTCCCTCCATCCTACCTGTTGCCAAAATTAAGTTTACCAAGATTAGAGGGTGAAGCCTTGTGTCCTTTACTGTGACCTGTCTATAGATTATCATTTACTTGAAGGAAGTTATTGAAGTCTTGAATATCCAAGTCTAGTCTTGCCCCATGAGTTGGCACATCCCAGCATCCATGGGCTGCATAAATCCCACTCTTGCGTCTTCAGAAACGTTGGGACTAAATACACCCGTTTTTCTTAGGAAATTGTTTAAAAATCCATTATCTTCTTAATAATTTATTATTTTAAATGTTTTTTTTCACTGTCTTGGTGGTATCTGAGGGCAGTTGCCCTGGAGCAGGGGTGCTGGATGGTGCTGGACTGGAGCTGCTGCCTCTGCATGGATGTCATGTTTTAACCCAACTGGCAGCTCAGCCCCAAGGGGGAGAGAATTGAAGGGTAAAAGTGAGAAAACTGGAGGGCTGAGATAAAGACAGTTTAATAGGGAAACTCATTCCCCCCTTGCCGTGGGAGGCAGGTTCAGCCACCCCCAGGACAACCAGGCTCCATCACAGTAACGGTGACTTGGGAAGGCAAACACCATCCCTCCAAACATCCCCCCATTCCTTCTTTCCCAGCTTTACACACTGAGCATGATGCTGGACAGTCTGGAATATCCCTGGGGTCAGCTGGGATCAGCTGTCCCAGCTGTGTCCCCTCCCAACTCCTTGTGCAACCCCAGCCTCCTCGCTGGGAAGGAGCCTCATACCAGCTCCTGTGGAGGAAACAAACTCCAGCATTTTTTTTCCCACATTTCCATCCTTATTCCAGATGATTTTTTTGATCCTGCTTGCTCTCAGCTGGAGCCCAGCAGTTGGTGCATGCCCTGGTCCCTACTGTGTCCTGAGCTGCAGATCTCCCAGGAACAGATGGATTCACTCAGTCTGGGATTGTGCCACGCAGAGATTTTATATCTTTTAATTTGCAATTGGCCAGCAGAGAGGCTGCACAGCTGCAAATTGTAGCCCCTCTTTAGATACATTAATGGATATTTATTCCTGTGTCCAGGCTGCAGCATTGTCACACTGTCACCCAGCACAGCAACCAGGCAGCTTGAAAACAAAGTCTCACAATCCCACCACATTCCAAGATAAAATGAGTAAGAATTAATTGCTTTCTATTTCTCCTCAGCCCTATTAGATGTAACAAGATTGAAACCATCCCTTCCATCAAAGCATTCGAGAGGGGACTGAATTAACTGATGTCAAACATTCAAACTGCTTTGTTTTCTAGAGGAAAATCAGAACATTCAGGCAACTTTGAGATTCGTAATAATTAGTTACATTTGTTTTTACTGAGTTGCTGTTCATGGGACTCATAGTTCCAACCTGTATCTGGAAAGTGGTTGGGAATCAGCAGATCTGGCCTGTTTCTGTCACATAAAGGCCACTTCACTCTCTGCCTCCTTCTCCCTGTTTGTAATAATGGTGACTTCTCTGTGTAAAGCATTTTGTAGTGTTGTGGCAACACATTAAATATGTAATAGATTATTATTAAAGCAGAAGTGCCAATGTCACACAGGCAGTGCTGGGAGAAGAATGCAGCGTGGCACCAGAATGGGGATTAAGAAACTAGAGCCATGAAAACCAGCTAAGTAGGTTTGAAATGATGAATAAAATTATGACCAAAAATGAAATTAGAATCAAAGGCACTTGGAAATGGAGACTGGCCAGATTTTTGTTTTCTTTTAAATGTGTAAACTGGGAAACTATAAATTGGGATGGATGGAGAGGGACAGAAGAGAAGACATTGGGACAAGACAAGATGGGTCTTGGGGAAGGGTCTGGAGCACAAATCTGATGAGGAGCAGTTGAGGGAGCTGGGGGGGCTCAGCCTGGAGAAAAGGAGGCTCAGGGGGGACCTTCTGCCCCTCTGCAATTCCCTGATGGGAGGGTGGAGCCGGGGGGTGACTGGACTCTGCTCTCAGGGAACAAGGAACAGGACGAGAGAAAACATCCCCACGTTGTGCCAGGAGAGGTTTGGATTGGATATACGGGGAAATTTCTTCATGGAAAGTGTGGTCAAGCATTGGAAGAGGCTGCCCAGGGCAGTGGTGGAGTCACCATCCCTTGAGGGATTTAAAAGACATGTAGATGTGACACTGAGTTTTATGTGACACAGTTCAATGGTGGCCTTGGCAGTGTCAGGATTATGTTTGGACTCAGTCTTAAAGGTCTTTTCCAACTCCAGTGATTCTATGCTTTTAAAATAACACAGAAAAATCACATAAATGAAACAAAACACAGAAATAGGTAGAAGAATACAAATGGCCTTTCCAAAACTTGGGGGCAGACTGAAATAGTTAGCAGAGCCTTCAGAAACAGTTTTGCCAGAAATAAGCAAAATTTTTATGAGGGGCCTTCTGATTTAGTTACAATTGTTTCCAGGAAACAAACAATAGCAAAACTTATTTGGATTTAAGGAACCAGGCATTCAGATGCATAACAAACACACACACAGCTCTACCAAAACCTGTGTGGGGTCAGAGTGATGATAATTTATCACCTTAAGGAATTGCTTCAAGATGAGCTCAAATACAGCAGTTTTTGGCATAATTGCCTGTCTTTACCAAATACATGCAGTTTGAAGTGTTTTTATGTTTCCTAATGATTCTCTCAGTAAAAAATTACCTGGAGTTGCTGCTGGTTACTATGGAGAGCTTTGATCAGCTGGAGTCTACCTGGATTGCTCCTCAGCCACCATGAGAAGAGAATATGCAGATGGCATCCCAGCTAACGCTGTTTCTCATTCAAGTCCAAAACAAAAAAAGAGAACAAATCTTTAAGAAGCAGAAAGCAGAATCAATACTTTCAGTCCAAAAATAATAATAATAATAATAATAAAAAAGACAGGTATCCACCACTTCACTTGTGACTTCTGACTTTCTCCCCCACCCCCATCAATGCAAAATAAAGGATCTGGATGTTCATCAAAGCACTTGGTGTTTTGGATGGTGCCAAGGCTCCATGGGAAGGGCTGGTTTCTGGGACTCAGCTCTTCCAGTACCAAGGTCTGAAGTCAGTCCTCTGCCTGCCTTTCTGTCTCTTTTTGAGCAAGGCAACTTTAAAGTTTTAGTTTATGAGTACAAGCTTTGAAGAGTCTCTTGGTGGAGATTACAAGTGGAGGGATCTGTGGACAAGCTCCTGCCACAGGTACCCCTGTCCTAGAGATTGGGTGGAGGAATAGCATGAAAATCCATGTTCAGGTTTTCAATGGAGGGGAAAAGCAAGGAAGAGATGACTGAGAAGAGATGGTTAGACCAGGACTTTGTCCCTCTTCTCCTGGGAGGGTGAAAGTGTCCGACCTCGATTGAGGCTGGTTGGGATCCTGCCCTGGGGAACAACGTGCAGATGTCACAGGCAGGTGATTCATTAAGGAAGGTCAGTCCTTAATTATAAAAACCTAAGTGGCACTGGAAAAAGAGGAGAGCAAAGAAACCAAATGCAACCTGAAGAACAAAGAGGTCAACACTTTTCTCAGTGTCCCTTGTGCTCTGAAGCTGCACTGGAGCTGCAGAGACTGGCAAAGAAATGCCCCTGGCAGGAATTCCCATCTCAGCCCTCCTTCTTGGAGGGGAATCTCATAAGATGTGTGCAAGGATCCAGAGGGAGAAAGGACACTAATCCTGCTCCTGAAGCAGCAAATCTGTGGTTGTTTTCTTTCCTTTGGTTCAAGATGGGGTTTTTTTTCCTCCTCTTTTCCTAATTCACAACTTCCTTTTTCTGACTATTAACCAAACAAGCATGGGTTGAACAACAAGAATATTCTTCAAGGCTGGGTTGGAAAGGGCTTGGAGCACCCTGGTGTAGTGGAAAGTGTCCCTGCCCATGGCAAGGGGTGGAACTGGATGATCTTTATGGTCTTTTCCAACCTAACCATTCTCTGAAATTCAATGCCTGACTTTTAGGCCAAAAGAACACAATTAATTAACAAGGGCTTGTCAGAAATCAATCTTATGGCATTTAAGACCTGACAAACTGTATCACAAGAAATAGTTATTTGAATGTCAACTTCAAAGCCCAAACCATTTTATTCCTTACCAGCTTTTATTGAAGATGTTAGTCCTGTGATTAATTTGAAATAATTCTGAGCTGCTCTTGGCACCTGTTGATGAGTAAAGAACGGAGTGTTGCACGAGTTCACACCAAGAACTTGTTCTCTACACAGACATAAGGATGTAAAAAAGATGTTTTCCATGAAAGCCTCATTTTGGAGGGGGAGGAAAAAAAAACCAAGAAAGCACCACCACCAAAAAAACCAACCAAACATTTCAGATCACTGTTCCAAAAAGAGCACAAAGCCAAGACAAGAAGTCATCAAAAAAGCTCATCAGACCCTGTTAGTGCTCTGGGGAGAGTTCACTGCAATTCATGTATCTCTGTAAAATCCTTTGATTTTATCAAGAAAACATCTTCTGATTTTTGTATAACTGACACAATGTTTCCTTTTGCTCATTCTCAGTGTATCCAAAAAGTCAAGTTCTTGGAAAGTCTGGACTTCAAAATTCTTTGTTGCAAAAAGTGTAAAATAAATCTGTTTATTGCTTCCTGATACAATGATTGCACCCCTACTGGTTTTAAAAGGGAATTAGGAGAGAATAGCAGAATATAAAATTCCATCAGAAGACAAAGAGGTGTGGTGGTAGACACAAGGAAAAGTGTCTTAATACTGGGAGTGGAAAAGTAAGAACAATTACAGATTATTTCTGCAAGCCCTGGGAGTCGTAAACACCAGATCATCTGGCAGAAGAAATAGTAGAAGATTTATAAGAAATAAAAAACATTTTAATTGGGAGTACTTTGAAATAATGGTCCTCAAATAACATTATCACATTGGTAAGGGAGTAGCCAAAAAGAGCTTTGTAAGTGCCTGCAATATTGTCAAAGCGATTTTTCTGGCAGGAGAGCAGCACCAGCCACAGATGTTGGCTGTCCTACAGGTTTGCTTTTCAGAAAAGACACCAAATCCTTGGATTAAATGTTCATTAAAGGGAATACCCAGTTCTCTTTCAATTTGGCAAACACATGATTATAAAATGTCCTCATCTGGATAATATTTTTTTTTAAATTTGCACAATGACAAAATTCCATCCAGGCTGCCTGTTTGGATGACAGTAAGTACAATCACCACCCCTCCCTTCTTCAGTTCCTGCCCCAGCAAGTCAATGAAGAAACTTTTTTTTCCCTTCCTTTGCTTTTCCCACAGTACTTGAAATAAAACATTTACGAATATTTGGGCCAAATCCACTGGAACATTTTAATAACAGGGCCAGAACATATTCCACATTTTCTATTTTCACTAGGAAAACCTAAACTTGGTGCATTTCTTCCCTTATGCCCATTTTTCAGTAAATAAAAATAATAAAAAATACTTTTAAAAATTTACAATCTTCCTAGCCAGAAGGGAAGTAAAAGAAATAAGAGCTACACCATAACTGTGCAAATCTTTCACTTGCAATTGCTTTCCTTTATGAGCCTTTGACTTCTCACAGACTTTACCTTCCCAAATCCAGTGAGTGTCACCATCTTAAGTGGTCAATTGATGGGGACAATCTGGCACATCCGGTGATGGCCATCAGAACATTACACTGATGGGACTTTGCAGTCCTAAAATCACAGAATCACAGAATCAGCTGTGTTGAAAAGACCTCCGAGATCATCCAGTCCAACCCTTGATCCAACCCCGCCGTGGTTCCCAGCCCATGGCACTGATGCCACATCCAGTCTGTCCTTAAACACCTCCAGGGATGGAGAATCCACCCCCTCCCTGGGCAGCCCATTCCAATGGCTGAGCACCCTCTCTGGAAAGAATTTCTTCCTAATGTCCAACCTGTAGAACCGATGGGGGTTGTTGTGGCCAAAGGGCAGGACCCGGCCCTTGGCCTGGTTGAACCTCATCCCCTTGGAATCAGCCCATGGATCCAGCCTGGCCAGGTCCCTCTGCAGGGCCCTCCTGCCTTCCAGCACATCAACTCCCCCCCCAACTTGGTGTCATCTCCAAATTTGCTGATGGTGGACTCAATCCCCTCATCTAAATCCTCAATAAAGACATTAAACAGGACTGGGCCCAGCACTGATCCCTGGGGACACCACTGGTGACGGATCCCAGCTGGATGCAGCTCCATCCCCACCACTCTCTGGGCCCAGCCATCAGCCAGTCCCTAACCCAGCACAGAGTGCCCCTCTCCAAGCCTTTTCCAGGAGTGTACCATGGGAGACAGTGTCCAAGGCTGTGCTGAAGTCCAGGCAGACACATCCACAGCCTTCCCCTCATCCACCAGGAGGGTCACCTGGGCATAAAAGGAGATCAGATTGGTCAGACAGGACCTGCCCTTCCTAAACCCGTGCTGGCTGGGTCTGATCCCTTGTCTTCCCTTGCTTGCTGCAGTACTGTGAGCACCACAACCTTGTGGAGGGGTTCTGGAATTTCTAACAGCAGCATTGCTCCACCTATGAGGTGTTTAGAAGAGTCAGCAAAGAACATCACTTAAAAACTCAACATGTTGGGTCCTCAAGGGATTCTGCGTTCAGGTTAGAAACCCCATCCCAAAAATCTGGTGCACTCAGAAGCACTGATTCTCCCATTTCCCATCGTGTTCAGGATCTCCATTTTGAAGACAACAAGACATCTTTGGGAGCTGTTCTCTCCAGTTTACCTGGGACTGGCTTAAAAAGAAAGCTGTCCAGTGATATGAGGGATTTACAGAGCTTGGATGTCTCCAGTAAGATTCCTGGAAAAGGTTTGTGTTGTGGCTTAAAAAGGTGATTTCTCTTGCACACACCGAAAAATTATAAGTTTTTTTACTCCTCCCTTTTTATAGGTGCCAATGAAACATTCCCTACAGGAACTGGAATGATATTTTGTTCTCTGGTCTACCTGTTTCTGCTGTCACAGCCTATTTACCTCATTCCAGAGCATTTTCAGTTCATGGAATGAAAACTACTTTTATTTCTCAAATGGGTTGTTTCCAAAGTGTAATCCACTCAGATTTAGTGTCTGTGTTGCTACTGCTGTTTTCATTTTCTAGGTCTCGGCTATAGCTGAACTTCATTGTCCTTCTACATAATTGAAAGATGCAGGAAACCTTGAAACTAACCTTTAGCTGGCATCAGAAACAGTCACATTCAACTTTACACGACACTTTCCAAGCAAACAAAGAAGCCTTTTAAAGGGTAATAAGCCCCTCTAGTTTTCTGTTACTTGATAACAGAGTTGAAGAAGTGTCTGGATGATGCTCTCAGGCACCTCATGTGACTCTGGGGATGGGCCTGTGCAGAGCTAAGGGTTGGACTTGATGATCCTTGTGGGTCCCTTCCAACTCAGCATGTCCTGTAATTCTGTGCCCTTCCAGCATTTCATCTGGGAATTGCACCCCATGGTAAATCCAGATCACATCTATCCACTTCACTCACTTGCAGAGCAACCCACCACAGCCCAAAGCTTCATCCCTGCCCTGCCTGCCCTTCGTATTACTCTGAGTCAAAGCAGAGGCTTTACCTTCATTACGACTGTTGTTAAGGTGCTCCTTTACTTCCCAGCTGCTGTGATCACAGAGCCTTCAGGAACAAGAGCCGCTTCAGAGGTGTCCCAAATGGTGTTCAAAAAACTTATGATTTCATCATGATTTTGAGCTGTATTTCCCTTACAGCATCAGCCATTGCAGGTGGACAGTTATAGTAAAATCACCACTGCAGATGCATGTTCTTATTCCTGTGACTCTTTCTGTCCATGGCAGTAA